GTGTGTGTGTGTGTGTGCGAGTGTGATACGGTGCAGGCAGCGGCGCTAGTCAGGCTCACGCCCAGTCGCCTTGCGGCCGCGCTCCCCGCACACCGTACGGGCGCGTCGCTCAGTGTTCGAGACGCCGACCCGGCCGACGAGTAGAGTGACAGCGGCGGCAGGAGTCACCTCACGCGGCGTTACCATTCCGAATAACAACAACAACATTATGGCTCGTGCAGAGTGTGACTTTGAGTGACTTCACACATCAAATCGTGGAGTGGAACAGTTGTGGTGACGACGGCGACGTGCGCCTGCCGTGCCGTGGGAAGCGCTCGGCGCGCTGCTGAGCGACTGGAGCGCGCCCAGTGGGCACGGACGGCCGCTGGTCCCGAAGTGGCGTCGAGGAGGCCCGCTCAGGACCTGCCGGCACCTTGACCTGGGCTGACATCGGGTCGGTCCACGAGGGCCGCGGGGCTCGCGCCCGTCAGTCACAACTGCGCCGCGCGGCTCGGCCGACGCCATGCCGCTCGTGTTCGACTTCTCGCCGCCGCCCTCGCCGGGCTACTGCATATGCACGCCGCTGCCGCCAGGTAGGCGACGACGGGACCGCCGCGCCCGCCCAGGATCGCGATGAGTCAGACGGCCAGACAGCACTCGGAGAGGGGGATCGTCCAAAAAGTACCGCTGCGCTAGGTCTCATAGCGCCTGGTGGGTAGGCAACATCTCGCCTGCAGTGCATGCGCGTACTGCGGAGTGGCCTACCCCGAGTCTTGCAGGCGCTGATCTTCCGTAAATGGCTGAATAATGAATCGAAAAGGAAAAGCGGGCGCATTTTCTGGACGATCCCATAGCTGGAATCAGTTTATCTCGTGTTGGCTTCATGCGTGTTTTGTTTCATTTTTTTCAAGATTCCCTCTCGTTTTGTTTTGTTTTTCACCTTGGCATTTCACCACACAAGAAATATTCTCTACGAATTAAAGTGTGGCATTAGGTGGGCATTTAATCATTTCATTTCCACACTGAACAGAAACATCGGTGTCGTTGGGTATTGTCTGACGGATCCAAAAGAGTCTGTGGAGATTGTGTTCATTCGTGTTCATTACATGTTTTGTCTCACTTCCGTGCGACATGGCTGTCATACACTACTTATACCTCTGCTATTTTGACATTTTGTATGATCTCTTGTGTAGAACTGTAGCATTTCTCATGAGCACTTTTTTGGCTCACAGTTCGCTAGTGACACTGAAAAGTTAAACGACAAACGTGCGAGCACACACGGTATTGTCCGCCGAGTTAAAATGTTGCCGTATCTGTTGTTTGTTTGGGCCGTGCGAGAGGGGCGAAAATAAAAGATCTCGTTTTCTTTTTTACTGCCATTTGACCCGCGCTGGGTGTCGGGTTCCGTTATCACACGTGGGACCTCTGCTCCCGTGCTATCACGGTCTCTGTCTCTTGACCTCGTTCACCGACTGTACTACCTGATCTCTTGCCGTGCTCTCGCGTGCGCGAGCGCGCGGCGTGCACCGCCCTTTCCTCTGCCCTCCAATATACGCCCTCCTCCCCCTCCTCCTCGTCATCAGCTGAGTGAAGTTGTCCCGCGGCTGCCCCCAAGGCCAGCCCGCCAAACTGGAGGGAACTCGCACACGTCTTCTTTTGAGGGTGACGAATGCCTGGCCACGTCCACGGGGCAGGCGCTAAATGCGAATGCAAAGCACGTGCGGGGCGTGGCGAAGCGTGGCGAGGCGGTGGAAAAGTAGCCACGCGCTGCTTCTAGTCTTCCACGAAAAGCTTTTCGACAATTTTATTCGATTTATTTTTCCTTTCACACTTTTGTTATCCATGCAAATGTGTGACGTTGTGTGACGTTGACAGTAACCTTCCTCTCTCTTTCTGCTGCAGCTGCGACGGTGACGGTGGCCACCACTGAGCCGGCCATCCCCTTGGACCTGGTGGCGGACGGCGAGGACGCCGACGCGCGCCTGACCGCCGGCCTCTCCAGCCTGCCCGTGTCGGAGAGCGAGCGCCTGCAGTGCGACAGCTTCTTCCGCGGCCTCAAGACGCAGGTGTTCGTCTGCGGCTCCCTCACCAACCTCTACTTCGGGTCCACGGCGCAGGGCCAGGAGGGCGCCTGGGAGCTCCGCTACACGGGCATCCCCGTCGTGCTGCTGGACACCGGCGAGGCGCGCGCGCGCAACAAGAGGCGCATCCAGGTACGTGACGTACGCGGCGTGCAGCGGGGGTACAAATGTCATGGGGTCCCAAAATGATCAGGAACATCATTTGAGCCCATAGGGACCCCGGGGTAAAAAGTATTATGGGGCCTTACGGACTTCAATGATGGTCCTGATCCGTTTTGGGACCCCATGATATTTGTACCCCCCTAAAAGTCAAGTAGTGAAACGACCCTCTATATGTGCCTACAAAATAGTCATGGACACTGCAAGCTTGTAGAAATTGAAACGGAGGGGGGGAGGGTATCACCTGAGGGTCTCATAGTCATTCGAAACTAACCCACTGTTTTGTTTCCCTGTGTGCAGATCCTCCTGGCGGAGCGCGGCTCGTGCTTCACGCTGTGGCAGGACACGATCGACAACCTGTCGTCTTACAAGGAGGCGGGCCCCGCCTTCCACACCATGTGCCTCTCCAGCGACCACACGACCCTGATCGGGCTGAGCTTCGACTGCCCGCAGGCGGCGCAGCAGCTCTGGGACCACATCGAGAGGCTCACGTTCTGCCCCGAGAACCTGGGCCTGTCCGGGCCGGGCGCGCGCGGCCGGGGCCGCAAGTCGCCCCGCAAGTCGCCCAAGCCCAAGCCCGTGGCGCTGCCCAGCAAGGCGCACATCTCCCAGCCGTGCTGCTTCCAGGTGAGTTTAACAACCAATCCGTGAAAATGATGGCTCATTTTCTGTGGAAATGAATGGGAAACTTTGGGGGGGAACTTTTGTAATTTTAGGAAGTCTCATCAAAATAGTTGAGGAAAATACCACATTTATTTAGGAGACTTCCTCAAAATCTGTGGCGTGTTTCTCATCCGATAAGAGTGATCCTCAAAGTTTTCCTCAGAAAATCAGACTTTCTTCTTGCCGTTAATTTATGTCAATGAGTTAGGTATTTTAACTTATCATCTACTGTACTAAAAAAAATGATTTCGTTTGTTGCAGCACGTGACCAGCGTCGATCGCAAGGACCGCGACCGGTACTTCTCCCTGCAGACGTTGGTGCCGGCTCTGGCCGAGATCGAGAAGGTCGCCCCCAACGTGTCGTAGGGCACGGCGAGCCCCACCCGCATCTGTGATAACAGCAACGTGTGCCCCTCGCACATTTTGTTTGTCTTTTTACATCCCGTTGAGTTTATTTTTATTATCATTACTATTACTATTATTGTTTTTTTGTAACTTTTATTGATGATGTTTCTTTAGTTTACCATTTTAAGTTTTGAGAAATGTTTGACCACTCTTCTTGTCCAGTACTTTGGGTGCCTGGCTGGATTGCCAGGTTTCAAGCTCTAAAGTATCATGATCATTCAATTGATTGCATGCCTATCTGTTGAGGTATGCTGCGTGTACAGTTTTTTGTCTGGTAATTCCAATATTTGCAATGTAAAGCCATTGTGAGACTGTGTAGCTGTAGTTTAACATACTCATAGTTGTGTAGTTTTAGTATTACTCTCTTCCATGCCTTTTGAAAGCACTAGTCATTTGTTTGATGTGAATAGACTTTTCGTGTAATATGTCTAAATATGATTAAGGTGTAGGCACTGTTTCAGATCTACCAGATAAACACAACCTGACTGGCCTAAATTCTACAAAGTTTAAATAACTTAATAATTTAAAATTTGAACTGCAATCAAACTCCACTTAAACAAATCTGTTGTGAACGCTCTAGATCATTAAAATTTGCTTTTTTGCTTTACTACAAACAGTGAATGAAAAGCTTTTCCTCATATCAGTACATTATTTATTTCTAAAATGTGTAAATATAAGTATTTTATTGTTCAATTTTAATTGAAGTCCCTTGTACTTCTTCTTTATCTTAATCCATGTAGCTAAGTAAACTTTTATTAAAAAATGAAATTGTCAAAACTTGAAAATAAAAACAAAACAAAACGTATAACACCTCAATTTATTTTCAAACCATAATACATGTAACTTGCAGCTTATATTTTTTTTAAACAAGTTTTCCACAGTTGACTAAGCTTATTGTATCACCCTTTAGAACAGCAACAAAAAATGTCACTGTCTTTTTATTAATTGTTTGCTGTACTTCTAAACGGGAGCCTTCAATTTTAGGTAAAAACACAAAGGCCTTTGTAAATTTTGCCAAAGATGAAAAATTGAAAAATCGCTGGAAATGGCCGTGTCGGTTGGAGCTACAACTGTGCCGCTACAAACAAGGACGTGGCCCCCGAGCCGTTCGTACTGCGTGGGGGACGCCGGGTTTGTGGCTGAGGGCGCCTAGGTAGGCCAGCCCGCCAGCCATCCCTGGGTGTTGGCCCCGTAGCCCTTAGGCCCCCGACTCGTTGGTGCTGCGAGGGTGACCCTTGCGGCGAGTTGTAGCTGAGGGTGCCTGGAGGGTAGGCAATCAGTACACAAGCTGTGGGGCCCCCGAACACCGAGCCCCAGATTGTGTTGATCTAGATGAGTCCCGGGCCTTTCGGCTGGACGTCTCTGTTTGTAGCTACACGATTGTAGCTACAGCCGACAGTGCCCGAGTCAGCTTAAACTGAACCGTCTATAGACGAATTCATTACTTCCGCCTATGC